TATTTGTTTTGTTAGCATTCCTTTTGTTTGTATTTTGCTAGTTGTTAGACAAACTGATGGTTTCTACGGTAATGCGATGATTTTTGTTGTAGTTTATATTGTTTTTGTTTGTCCAGAGTTTACTGATATTACTAATTTAATTAATATCAATTTGTTTGTTAACACCTTTAAAATCTCCACATATTCTTATTAATGAGTCTGGTTTGTTTACCAGAACTATAGGAGATGTCCATACACTGTATTGTACATGTTTTCCAAATGCCATGCTAAAAATTTGCTTTGCATTTTCTTTTAGTTTAATTGATGCTTTAAAATTGTTTACTGCATCTACCTTGTTATCAAAAATGTTATTATATTTTTCACATAGTTGTTTAATATTAATATTTTGCATTTGCTCTATTGTTGCCACTTGTTAAATTTTAAATTTGAAAATTTCAAAAAGATATGCACCAAAAAAGTGGTTTGAATTACACATTTTTGCTACTACTACTTTTCTGCAACTTGACTTCAATTTACCCAGCTGCTTTAATTAGGGAATTTCCATATGCAAATATTTCTCAATTATATTTTTTTAACGTAGGTTTATCTAATTGCTCATAGCTTTTATACGAAATTATTAAGATTATTGTACCGTAGTCTAGCAGAAATTAAATTAACCTTTATGTCAACAGCAGAACTGGTTAACGCACGTCAGCAACAACATACCTGGGTATGTAAAAATATTTTGTAAGGGAAATGGCATGCTATTAGCATATCTAACTCGTTTGTTGGGATTTCTGTATTTTTTTTTGTATTTTATTAGAAAGAGGGAAAAGGTTTAAAACCTGTTTTACCAGTTTTACTCTAGCATTTAGTTATTGTTTTTTTGAATAAGGGGTTGTATAAGTAGACATACGTAGAAACATGTATATGATAGAAACATGTATATGATAGAAACATGTATTGAATCAGAAATTTCATTCATTCAAATTTGTAGTTTCGTCAGCAAATTTAGTTTACATTTGTAATTCGAAGTGAAAAGACGTTTCTGTTTATTTTTGGGAAATAAAAAAAAAAATAATAAAAGTGAAATGGCAGATAGTGAATGGGTTATTCCACTGCGGCTAAGCGTACTTTCGTACGAAGAGCAACAAGCATATATTCGTCAAACGCTTGAAGAGAGCCAAGAAGAAATAAGTGACCAAAATTCAATAGCTGGTGACGATGCTTTATGTGAATGTGTAGCTGATATTGGTGGTGATGATTCAGACGTTAAAGAACCCACGTTACAAGAATATGACCCAGAAGACGACAGTGATTCTGATGAAGAACTTGAAGATGTACCAATTGAAACTGGCGAATGTTTTACTGCCAGAGATGGTAATGTTTAGTCTTCGATACAACCACAACCGCACAACATTCTAAGAAGTGCACAATCTGGACCATTACGGGCAACGCAAGGTTTCAACATTGCGGAAACGTTCAAATTGATAATGTCAGACGAAATATGCGACTAAGTATTTGTGAATCAAATTGAAAATCAAGGCAATGCTATGACATTGCAAAACATCCAACAAGACAACCGAGATCCTGGATTCGCATAACAAAAAGTGAATTTGATGCATATTTGGGCCTACTTTTGCTAAGTGGCGTTACACATTCTGTAACGACACTTTTTGGTGACGTTCAAAAATATTTAGTTTTTGCTGGGTTTCCTCAGCCGTAGTCCAGAGCCATCACAATGAATTTATATTCGCGGGGACGAGTTTCGTAAAAGAAAGATATTTTTAAATTTTTCTAAGTTTATTTCTTTATTATTTCAATAAATGTTTGTACAAAGTTATTTCGATAATAGTGCGAAAGCTATTTATTTTAATTGTGTGATTTCAAAATAAAAGAGCTGATTAAATATAACTCGTAGAAAAATAAAATTATAATAAAATAACAAAAAAAAACTCGATATGTATTGTTTACATAAAAAAAGGATGTATATGCAGTGCTATATATTTTTACTTCGAAGATTTTCGTATATCCAGGCGATACCTAGTTGTGCCGTACGCTGTGAATTCTGTGAGTGATAGCCGTGGATTTGATGGACGAACGCCGTGATTTCTGTGAATGAATATCGAGGATTCTGCGGACGTGTGGCGTGGAATGGCGTGTAGTTCTCAGGTTACACTACGGAATATTCATAATATATCCGTGCGATTTCTTGTATTCCTCCAAATAATTTTATATCCTTTGCCGTAAAACCAACGCAGGATTTTAATAGTTTCTAATTGATATATATGGTTCATAGACATATATAATTTTATTTCCTTTGCCGTAAAAACCAACGCAGGATTTTAATATTTTCGGCGTAATACCACCTTGACGAATACTCATAAACTCGCGCCTTCTTAACAATTTCGCTGTCTTAAATACCCATACGCCGGAGCTTTCTTCTAGCGTATTTTAAATTTTCCCGTTCGTTTACCCACTGGGTTGTGCAGTGTAACCGCTGTGTTTATGATCTTTGCCGTGAAGCCGCTGCGCTTTTGTGTTTTGTTTTGACAGCCGCTTGTGTTTTAAATTATAAAAGTTTTTTTTTTTTTTTTACAAAAAAAAGTGTAAGTGATAAATATATTTATAAACAAAACATGAATGTAAACAAAAATATAAACTTAAGTGTAATTAATTAAAAGAATTTCAGTGATTTTAAATTAAGCCGGTACTGATGTTAATTTGTTTTGATGGTAGTTTTGTTTATGTTGTAATATTTGCAAAAGAAATAAATTAAATATTACTTTCCATGTTATACCGTAACAATTAAATTAATAAACTCTAGTTATTTTAATAATTATCCAAATAGAAAACCAGTGGAAAACTGTGACGAAGTGTTGCTTGTGATGCGTTTTTGTTTGTAGAAAAAAACGTAATCAGTGGACGTTTAGTTGTAT